TTAAAGTCCTGGTAATTAGCTGGGTGTGGTAGCACAGACCTATCATCTCAGTACTTGGAAGGCAGGCAGGAGGATCACTGCAAGTTTGAAGCCCCTCTGGACTACAAAGTGAGCTCAAGGCCCACCTGAACTGCATAGTGAGACTCTGTCTCAAAAAGACAAAAAAAAAGAAAAAAGAAAAGTCACTAAGCATATAGTGAGGACTCAACATTTCTTAATTCCTGAATTTTCTTACCCATTTAAAAATATTTGTAGCTGAGTATGGTGGTACCCGACTGAGGCAGGAGGATCTCCTTGAGTTTGAGGCCAGCCTGGCCTATATAAGCAAATTGAAGACCAGCCTATAGAACACAGTGGCTTAAGTCTCATTTAAAAAAGAAAAAAAAGTACTTGCTTTTGTGACACAATTGACACTATACCAGAGTCCTTAAGGTACAGTAAAGGAGAATTTAGAAAAATACATTATCAACATACTTATACCACTTCCAATTTTGTATATGCCATGGAGGGAAAAGTGGTATTTATGGAGGTAGTATTGATTTAGATGTGAAGGAAAAGGTTTCTTTTGGAACACGTGAACTTGAACCTCAAGATTGAGGCAAGTCAGGTGCAGGTAAGAAGAGTATCAAGTTGGTGAGTTTAGGGCTAGTGTGCCAGAAACGTGGGAGTGGTATATGAGGGCCTAGAGGGGAGGAAGGTGATTTCTATAGACTTGGGGGACTGTGGTTCCTCTGGCTTGGATTGAGGCAGCAGTTAGAAAACTGGAGGTGTGCCTTCTCATGTGTTTAGGTGGTATCTACATACCTTTTGCATCATTCCAGAGCCAGATGAAGTCAGAGCTGGCAGCTGTGGCCTCCGAGTTTGGGCGGTTAACACGGTTTCTGGCCGAAGAACAGGCAGGGCTGGAGCGGCGCCTCCGAGAGATGCATGAAGCCCAGCTGGGGCACGCTGGAGCTGTGGCCAGCCGCCTCACAGAGCAGGCTGCCCAGCTGAGCCGCCTGCTGGCAGAGGCCCAGGAGAGAAGCCAGCAGGGGGGCCTGCGGTTACTCCAGGTGAGCATCCTCTGTCCTGTCTGCTACTCCCCTAGCCGTGTCAGGCAGCACTCACTGTACTCCTCACAACTGCCCTCTTTTCCCACTGGGAAATAGCCAGTGACTTGATCACAAATGTTTTCCTAAAGTTGGAGATAGCATTGAATGTGGTATGATAGTTACACATAATGAAAAGAAGGAAGATGAAGTTTAGGAGGGATTTAAGTGATAAACAATAAAGTTAAATAATTTTTGACAGTGACATCCTGAAAAAGGGACCAAATCATATTATGAAAATTGTTTTTACTGAGCTTATAGCAGGATGAGAAGAGCTAGGTATGGTGAGGCATGGGGTGGTCCAGGTTGAGGGGGATGCAAGTTTATTGAGAGCTCTGCCTCTCCCTCCCTGGTCAAGGTCAGACCTATCTCTGGCTGGAGATTGGGAGAAAATAGTTGTCCCTGTATAGCTGACACTCTCTTTATCTCTTTTCTCCTCTTTATTATTCCCAGGACATCAAGGAGACTTTCAATAGGTGTGTTTCCACGTTACTTTTTGTGACCCAGTAGTATCTGGTTCCCCATCCCTGCCTTTCTCGGGTATCCCTCTCCTCTCCTTCCTTCCTTCCCTAGGACCTGAAATTCTGCTTCCTGGACCCTCCTGTCCTTCCCCTTTACTTCTGCTCTTCCCTCTGGGATTACCATGGTCCCACCCCCTGCCCGGTCCCCTTCCTCCAGGTGTGAAGAGGTACAGCTGCAGCCCCCAGAGATCTGGTCCCCTGACCCGTGCCAACCCCATAGCCATGACTTCCTGACAGATGCCATCGTGAGGAAAATGAGCCGGATGTTCTGTCAGGCTGCGAGAGGTAGGGAGGTCACTTGTACGACCTTCCTTTGCCTTTCCTTTCAGACCTGAGTGGGTTCTGAGGAAGATGGGCTTTGTGGAAGTATGGGGGGCCAAGAGTAGATCATTCTGGTTTTTCAAACCAAAGAGTAGCCTCTATCCTAGTCCAGGTAGGTCTGGGGTGAGGTGGCAAGAGCCAGGAGAAAGGGCTGGCCTGTCAGGTGTCCTGGGAACAAGAATGGAGTAAAGTGTGGATGCTAAAAGAAACAGCCTGGCCTCCCTGATGGTGTGGGGAGCTGAGGAAAGCAGACGGGGGAAGATGACAGGATTTGGGGGTGGGGGTGGGGTGGGAGGAAGCACACAGGAAAGGCCCAACCTGTGGAGTCGGCTGCTGATTGGGAACAGCCCTGGCGTATTTGTCCTCCCTCCTCCCAAGTGGACCTGACGCTGGACCCCGACACGGCTCACCCTGCCCTGATGCTGTCCCCTGACCGCCGGGGTGTCCGCTTGGCAGAACGGCGGCAGGAGGTTGCTGACCATCCCAAGCACTTCTCGGCCGACTGCTGCGTACTGGGGGCCCAGGGCTTCCGTTCCGGCCGGCACTACTGGGAGGTAGAGGTCGGTGGGCGGCGCGGCTGGGCGGTGGGTGCTGCCCGTGAGTCAACCCACCACAAAGAAAAGGTGGGCTCCGGGGGTTCCTCTATGAGCAGTGGAGATCCCAGCTCTTCACGCCACCACCATCGCCGCCGCAGGCTCCACCTGCCCCCGCAGCCCCTTCTCCAGCGGGAAGTGTGGTGCGTGGGCACCAATGGCAAACGCTACCAGGCACAGAGCTCAACAGAGCAGACGCTGTTGAGCCCAAGCGAAAAACCTCGGCGCTTTGGCGTGTACCTGGACTATGAGGCAGGACGCCTGGGCTTCTACAATGCTGAGACTCTCGCCCACGTACACACCTTCTCAGCCGCCTTTCTGGGCGAGCGTGTCTTCCCCTTTTTCCGGGTGCTCTCAAAGGGCACCCGCATAAAGCTCTGCCCTTGATTAGCCTGCCACCCGCAGGGGTCCCTCTGGTCAGCACTGGGGGCGGGTGGCAGTGGATAGTGGCCCATTACTGCGTTGTCTCCTGCTTTTCCCTTTAGGAACCTAAGAGCCCTCCTGGCCTCCAGCTCTGCCTTCTCTCACCTACTGTATCTGTCCAACAGGTCTGCATGGGTCTTTGATAATGAGAACAGCTGCTTGGTCTTCCCTGTCTGCCAACCTAGTCCAGCCACTGGGATCTGAGAAGGGAGGATTATAATTTGATTCTTCCTTATCCCTACTCTATAATCATGTCAGTCCTGAGGCTGGAGGGCTCGAGCAAGACTTGAGAACACCCTCATCCCATTGTTTTCTGGTGCAAAGTTTAGGTAGGGGATTTGGGAACTTTTGGGGGAGGCATGGTGGACAAAAGGGTCAAGCTGGGTAAAAAATGTTTGCTCTCCTGGGGAAGATGGAGGGGTTCTAAACTTCCTTCCACCCCCAATTTCTACCTCCTTAGACTGGCCAGGATTTAGCCTGTGAGATCTGGGATATCCGCATGACAATAAACACTATTGCATCTGATAAATTATTTTCCCAGCAATCGATCTAAAGACCATAACTCACCCTACCTTATGTACTACCCCAGGACTGCTCACCGCCAGGGCCCTTTCCAGTTTGTGCACTGGAATTGTTTGTTTCCAGCCTCTCCCAACCTTTGGATTCTACTTGGCAGCCCTGAGGGGAAGGCCAGGGACAATCTGGGTGCCTGGGAGGAGAAACTTGGGCAGAATATATTTTTCTAGTAACTCCTTACCTTCTGTCATTTAATCAGTTTTTCATGGCTGAGGTCAATTTATATGTTCTTGGGGAAAAGGAAAACGTGAATTGTGTTGCAAAAATAAAGTGTTTATTTGCTTCTTTGTAGAGGCCATTTCTTCTGAACACAATCTGATTGGCTCATGTTTAGCTGTTACATGTGCCAGGTGTTCACAACATGGAGGATCCTCTCTAGGATTGGACTTTAATTGCCTCCCCCCATCTGATTTAATAGCACATGACTTATTCTGAGACCATCTGCCACTTTCACTACATTTTCTACTTCTGCTGAAGATCTAGGTGACTCAAGTTTACTCAAAAACTAGAAAGATAAAACCAAGACCTTAGTGCACATTTTCTGTGATGGTACCCAGCTGAGTCAGAATGCCTAGGTCTCCTTACCATTATGAACTGGGGGAGTAAGACATTCAGGGTAGATATGTGCCTTAAAATGGGACATCCTGCAAAATGTAACTTTGTAATTTTGTGCTCCCCCACTTCCTATTAAAGCTCTCACCCACCTTCACACAGTGAGATGCTGATTTGTGGCCAATGAGACCATGTGTCTCCAGAGCCAATTGTGAACTCTTCATTTGGTCAGCAGCAAGTAAAGGAGCTGGACTGGCCATTAAAAACACTACCATTTACCAAAATCCCACAGAAGGAACTGCAAGGACTATGGGGTCTTAATTTTGAGTGATTACCTCCCTGTATAAAGATAGCTTAAAATGATAGTAAAGCAAAATGTCTTCACCAAACTGATGGGAGATTATAGCAACCTCAAATCCCAGGTGGTTTCCCAAATGTTTACCTTTGAAGGAGTAGGTACTTTTACCTGTTTAATTCACTGTTAGGAGCTGGACCTGACATGTCACAAATCTTACCTACACTGTAGTTAACAAGAACATATGGGTGGGGGCCGGGGAGATGGCTCAGTAGAATAAACACTTCCCTGGCAAGTGCAAGGGCCTGAGTTCAATCCCCGGTTCCACAAAAAAAAAAAAAAAAAACAGAACATAGGGGAAACTAACCTATGTGACTTCCCATAAATTTCACTTTTGATGGCAGCTCAAACCTATTGAAACCAGACTGACATCTCCCTTTCCCCCTGGTCAATTTTTGCTTTGGCTTGCCAGTGCCAACCTGTAAACAGCACAGATAAGAGGCTTTGTTTTCCTTGGCAGAAAAGTGTCTTGTTTTATTCTGTTTTTTGAAGCTGGGTCTTGGTATCTAGTCCTGGCTGGGCTCAACGATCTCCTACCTTTGTCTCTCTCCCAAGTAGTTCAGATCACAAGCATGTATCACTACTGCTGGTCAAGAAAAAAATACTATCTAAAAGTGAGAACTAAAGCCAGTTTTAGAAAGCCAGTTTTTTTTATTTTTTTTAAAGCTGACACGTTTCTAGCGGGTGCCAATAGTCACCTGCCACACTCGCACCAGGTTATCTGTGTAGCCAGCAAACAGAGTCTGTAAAGGAGAAACAACAACGATAGATCAGGCTCAGCCAATTGGCTCTACAGTCCAAAGATGGCCTTTGCTTTACGAGCCCCCTCCCCTTAACCACCAGATTGCAGGAGTTGAACACATTCTCCTAGCGCAAGAACAACTGGTGATGAGGACTCGGACATCGTAAGTCTCCACTACCACTACCCTCTAGATCACTAGCTCCTCTGATGCAGAAATACATACTTGGTACTCACTGGCACAGCTGAGCAACCTTGCTAACTGTCTGATTAGACAGCAGCAGAAAAAAAAAGGGGGGACACAAGTCACAAGCAGTTGAGTGAGGACAGACCACTTACCTGGCCATCAGCAGACCAGGCCAGAGAGGTGCACTGGGGAGGCTCTGCCTTGCTGCTTGTACTGATAACTTCTTGCTTCAGTTCATCCACAATGATCTTGCCCTCCAAGTCCTGGGAACAGGTCAAAGCCAGCATAAGGACAGCCTTACAATACTGACCTCATGAGAAAATGACTATCTAGACCAAAACAAGTTGTACCAAGGTTGAGCAAGCGGATCATACTAAATGTGGTCATCTACTTTAACAGTATCTCCAACTGTTACAAAAATTCAAATACTAGGAAATTTTAGCATTCTTGGTCTCCACTGTCTCCATTAACAGTTTAGGGGCCAAGAAGCTTGACTTCAGGTCCAGTGGCATATACGGTCATCACAATATTGCTGGGGCACAGTGGTGGTGCTTAGAACAAAGCCAGGTATTAAATCTGTAACGTAGCCCACACTTACCCAGATCTTGATGCTGGGGCCAGTGGCAGCACAGAGCCAATACCGGTTAGGGCTGAAACACAGGGCATTGATGATGTCCCCTCCATCTAAAGTGTAAAGATGCTTGCCTTCATTGAGATCCCACAGCATGGCCTGGCCATCCTGCATAGAGCAAAAGATGTGTTAGTGCCACATAACCTCTTCCAAATGTCAATCCCAGGCATCTGAAAAATATACAAAAAGTGATTCCTATTTTTCCCAAAGTATTCTGGCTTCCTAAAAGCTGAATGACTCAAGCATCTGCTTATTTCTCTAAACCTTTTCTTCAATGCACTACCTGTATCAAGAGCCTCTGATCAACTTACAAGTAACTCTAAGTTCTGCAAACACACACCTATTTGCTTCAAAGAAACTACACAGAAACAGCTTCAAGAACACATTTTCAGACAACATGCCTAATTTTTAAGTTGCCACTTTATGTCAAAGACAAAACCTACAATATTCTATAATAGTATTCACTATTCCACCATGTCCAAGGATGTCTAGCCTCCCAAATAAATACCTTGCCTCCAGAAGCACAGAGGGATCCATCTGGGGAGACCGTCACAGTGTTCAGATAGCCAGTATGACCAATATGGTTGGTCTTCAGCTTACAATTTGCCAAATTCCATACCTACAAAGATAGGGGTTTATGGATTAATCAATCTAGCTCTCAACTGGCCAGAATGAAGAGGGTCTAAGTTCAACAAAGAAAAGGGCATAACTTGTTTAAAATATTCCCGATGACAGCTAATTATAATTCTACCACAAAAAAGGGCCAGCCGGATAGCTCAGTGGACTAAAGCACCTGCTTAGGCACAGCGGCTGGGATTCAATCCCTGGTATGCCATGCTAGCCCTACCCCTGTGGTGCTGGCTGAGATTGAGACTTAGCATGGTGGTGTGCGCCTGTAATCCCAACGCTTGGGAGGCTGAAAAACAGGAGGACCACTATGAGTCTGATCTGTGTAGTGAGACCCTATACTAAATTCATAAAATAAATAAAATTCTACCAATAATAAAATAGAAATTTAAAGCAGTCATCTTGGTCAATGTCAACTGAGATTAAAACAAGTTAACAAGCTGTTAGATGATAAGTATCAACTACTTCCGAACAAAAATCAAAAATTAAACAATTGCAGGCACAGTAACACATGTCTGTAATCCCAGCACTCAGAAGGCTAGGGCAGGAGGATCACTGCAAATTCAAGGCCAATCTGAGCTACACAGTGAGTTCAAGGGAATATCAGCTATAGTGAAACCCTGTCTGAAAAAAAAAAAAAAAAAAAGTAAACTAAGATAACCTACAAAATACTCAAAAGCTAGAGGTATAGAACTACCCAGGAAGAAATGGTACCACATTGTGGTGTTAAATGCCCTGTACCCTGGCTTGAAGCTCACCTTGACCAGTTTGTCCCAGCCACAGGAGACAATGATAGGGTTGCTGCTGTTGGGTGAGAAACGGACACAAGACACCCACTCCGAGTGAGACTCATCCTAGAGAATGAGAAGAAAAAGTCCCATCCCAGGATGTTAGATTCCTTACTCCTACCCATGGAATAAGTAACTTTAAAGATCCAGATTAGGTTTGAGGTAGAATTAAAACCACCACACACAAAGCAAGGGTTAAAATGGTGGGGGAGAACACTGACCCTGTGCTCTCTGCCACTGCTTTCACTTTACCTGGACAGTGTATTTGCAAACACCCAGAGTATTCCACAATTTTATGGTTTTGTCTCGGGATCCAGACACAATCTGCCGGTTGTCAGAAGAGAAGGCCACGCTCAGCACATCCTTGGTATGGCCTACAAATCGTCTTGTGGTGGTGCCCCTGAGCAAAGAGAACTCACAGACTTAAAACTTTCTCCTGCCAGTCAGATACTTACTCTAGCCTGTCCCTGACCAAAGAGGCTATGTTACTCAGACAACCAGATACAATTTGGATCACAGCAATTCTTTTGAGTATATGCCAGAGAATCCAATCAGAATTGCAGGACATGTCCTCATTCCCTTGTGGGGATTGGCTGACAATGTCATCTGTCATCACCAGGATTCTCTATTATATCTACTAAATATTCAACAGGCTGAATCCAAGATTGTTGTTAAGATAAAACATGTTCAAACTTTTGCCCAGTCCTAACTCTATAGCTGGCAAAAAGTGTTCAACTAGACTAATTCTCAGCAACCCAGAGTGCCTACCTCAAAAGAAAGGCTAAACAATTGCCAACTGCCTTCTGTATTGTTTTATCTTTCCCCAGATGGACCAGATCTCCCCTGGGACACCAACCTCCCAAGGGCATCTACCTTATTTCTGCCCAGTTTTCTTCCCCAAGGCCCCAGAGCAGCTACTTGCGTTGTAAGATCCCAGAGGCGCAGGGTCCCATCCCAGGAACCAGAGAGGGCAAACTGGCCATCTGAGGAGATGACGACATCACTCACAAAGTGAGAGTGACCCCTCAGAGCACGCTGAGGGATGCCATAATTAGTTTCATCCCTGGTCAGCTTCCACATGATGATAGTCTTGTCTATAAAAGGGAGGTAAAACAAAAACAAGGAAAACTAGTAAGAAATTCCAGATGTCTCAAAGTCCTGAATGGGTGGCCAAATTAAGGTTATCTAAGTCAGGAGGTAACTGTAGGTTTTGTAAGCAGTTGTTATTCCGGGCCAACCCTGAATAACAATCCTCCTGCCTCAGCCTCCCAAGTACTGCAATTACAGGGGTGCAGATCTGAAGTACAGACTTCAGATTAAGAAACTATAGTTATCTATTCCTGAATCAGACTAATTCAACATTGTTCTGTACTTTTAAGTTTAATGGAGGACCAAGTAAGTCCGGGCAGGGAACGTGCATCTAGAAACCTCTTAACAGCAAATGAAAGGCTCAAGGAAGCCTCAATGGGCCTTAGATGGCCTCTCCACGCTTCCACTTTCCCCCCAGCTGGGAGCCAGGCGGTAGCTCAGAAACAGCCTCTGGATTTCAGCACAAAGACTCAGATGGCATGTTGGGGTCATCACCGCTCCGCCGGTCCTGCAGGCTTCTGGGCGCACTCAGCCACACTTGCGGACGTTCAGGCAAGTGATTTAGAAAGTACCCATCCTTGCTGGCTAGCAGGGGTTGTCTCAGTGGGATCATCTGTGAAATGGTTCCCTCGGTTTGAGATCTAGGTTCAAGCCCGCACGCCCTAATTTATGCCCCGGTGGAGTCTACGGGGCCTGGCCCAGGCACGAGTTACACGCAAACCCCAGTCACCCAACCTTCTCGCCCGCAAACTCAGCCCGTACCTCGAGAGGCAGACAGTATCATGTCCGGGAACTGTGGGGTGGTAGCAATCTGCGTTACCCAGCCGTTGTGACCCTTGAGGGTCCCACGAAGGGTCATCTGCTCAGTCATGTTGACGAAAGGTGCGGGTGTCTCTGCACCGACGAGGATGGCAACAGATGGTTCACAGAGACATGCAGAGAGACCGCTCCAGCAGCCTAGCCGGCATGAAAAAGAAAGAGCAGGCCTCCACCGGAAACGGAAATACCCGCCTGCCCGAGAAAAATGGCAGCCCCCATCGTTCGCCATTCATCAAAATGGCGGCCCCCATTGTTCGCCGTTCATCAAGATGGCGGCCCTATATAACACACACACACACACACACACACACACACACACACAAAAAGCGAAGTGAAATCGCAAATTAAGGTCTCTTTCGCCACACAACATAGTATTTTTCAGCGCTGTACAATCTCATTCTGAAAATAGTCCTATTAAGTGTTTAAAAGCCTCAAGAGAGCAATGGAAAAGCGAAAGGCAGGAATTGTACGGCACACACGCATAAGGATCGCTTTGCGGCTTTTGCGCCCCAACGTGACTTAACGCGACAACAGCCCTTCCTTTTGATTTCTGGGAGCGCGACGCGGGCGGAGCTTTGCTCTCAATTCGCCTATGTGGCATTGCTGGGCAGTTTGAAGGGTATCATGTTGAGCCATTTTTAATAAACTTGAGAAACGTGCTCAAGTGAGTTGTCAAACTCAGCAGATTTCCATGCACAGAAGCGTCTCTTAACAGCTCTGAGGGCGTTGGTGGAGGCGCTTCAGCTGTGGTGGCTCTGCCTATAACTGTGGCATTCTGGGAGGCTGAGGTAGGAGGATCAAGAGTTGGAATCCAGCATGGCAAACCTATGAGACTCTGTCTCAAAAATAAAGGGGGGAAGAGAACCTGGGACTGTAGCTCAGTGTGAAGGCTCTGGCTTTAATCCGGATTACAAAAACAAACAAATACCACAGTAACAATAAAATTCAGGGAAATGTAAGAACAAATTCTGTGGATGTATTGGGGAATACTCTTCCAGTGCAAAGAGCTGGTGTGTGGGAGATTTGAGAAGGGTGCCAAATTGCTGGTGGGGAGAAATCCTATGTTTGGTCACCAGAGATGACAGCTTTAATCTGTATTGGTTGTTGGAGAAGAGAAAGGAAACACTTCAGTTTTCCTTTATCGCAATACCATCTTAGGCAGAAATGTGAGGAAAGCAGATCCTAAGATAGTCTTTTGTTTCTTCCTTGCGAGACTGGGCCAGGCCTGGCTATCATAGTAGATATATAATCAGAAGCTGGAAAAATGGGGATGGTCCAGGAGAGAGACTCTAGGTAATACCAGGAAAAGGCAAGTTTGTGACCATCTTGTTAAAAGTCCTCAAAGCAGCATTGTATGGTAGAGAAAAATAAAGGAAGATCTAAGGTGTTTTAGAATTTATGAAGAATGAAGTTCTGAAATGGTACCTTGAGGCTGAGTAGCATACCATAGAATACAAAGGCTGAAGAGAATACTGCCCTTCCTTGTCCCATTTGGTTAAGTAGCCCCCAAACTGCTCAGTATTCTTCCCATTCTTGTGCACTGTTGTCTCTTCCTAGTGAGCTTTGCTCAGCCTTGTGTTTCATTTCCACCAGCAAGTCTCTGTCCTCTTAGGTCCTTTGTTGCAGGTAGGGTTGGATGCTGTGACACAGTCTGGTCCTCTGCTCCTGCCTGTTGCAGTCCAGGGTTTCTTGGTCCTAGTTTTTTTTTTTTTTTTTTTTTTTGCGGTACCAGGGATAGAACTCAGGACCTTGCATTTATCAGGCAGGCAGCTATCTCAACAGCACAGTCCTATTTCTTACTCCTCACCCTAGGTATGGTATTAACTTCCCTTTCTTTGCCTTACAGGTTGCACTGTCACCATCATCCATCTCTGCTGCAGTCTTCCTCTGGTGAGATGGGAGCTGTTGTGGGGTCCCTTTGTGCTCC